GTCAGATGAGCAGCGTGGAGGATATCGTAGGAATTTCGGGGGAAAGTAAAATCCGATGGGCAGGATCCGTTGCTCGCTTTGCCTGTGTCTAGTGGATACCGCGCATTAGCTAGTGGTATCCGCAAGAAAGTAAACGACCACTAGGAAGACCCTCGAACGGATGGCGCACATGTACTAATCATACACTGGGTACTGATTGGAGGCATGCAACCCAAGATCGAAGGGCCTGGCATAACTGCGTCTAGCGTTTTTGCCATTTATATAATTTAATTCTAAGACGGGGGTTTTTTTTCCAGGAAATAACAAATGTCCAGGATCAGGGAATCGCAGAGGCAACGCTGGAATCTTTAAACTGGGACTTGCAACGAGCAATTGAAACTCACATAAATAGTAGTAGTGATGCACCACCAGATGGTGGTGATGATCGTCCGTCCGGCGTTGAAAACATGGAAACCGACGATCCACCTGCTCCCACAGCGGACAGTAATCGAACTTCGCGCACTCCATCACCACAACTGATCACCGGGGCGCATTGGTTGGTTTGAACCATTTAAAAATTTCGAATTTTGAAACCCATATTTTGTGAGGTGTGAGGTGGATGTTCGGGAAATTATCTGGGGTGATGGTGTTTTTCGTCAGCAATATCCTTTACTTAGAGGAATATTCTTTTGGTTGCCCAGGAGAAGCAAGCTTTTGACAGTTTTGACTCTTTGATAAACGGGGAAGTTACTACGGTTTTCCATTAAAACACGCAGCTGATAGGGCCTTAAGGATTGAGGGAAATAGTTCTCGTGTTTTAGAATTGATTTTTAAAAAATTAAAATAATTTGAATTTTAGTTTTAATTTGTAATTTTAATTTTGTGAAATTAATCTGGGATTGATGGAAAGCGTTTCGAGTCTCCCGGGTGCCGATGAACGGAAATAGTTCTCGTGTTTTGGAATTGATTTTGAAAAAAATAGAGGAAATGAATGGAATTTTGGTTTGAATTTGTGATTTTAATTGCGAAATTATTAAATTTGGTTGAGATAAAGCTTTCTGAATCTTAAATTTGGATTCGGGGGAAGGTTGGAAATAGTTCTCGCGTTTTGGAATTGATATTGAAGAAAATTAGAGGGAATGAATTGAATTTTGATTTAAACTTGAAATTTTCTGATTTAATCCACGAAATTAAATTTTAATTTATTTTTTATGATTTCGTATTTGGATTTAGTTTAATTCGAAATGAGTTTTCTTAACAGTTATTCTAGTCCTCATACTTTTTCAATTTTTCTAGGCGCGATGATAACAGTCTTTTTGCACCACGTTCTGGACGTCTAAGATTTGGTCGTCCAGTAAGAATTACACGAATGCATAACGGTTTTCAAAATGGTTAGTTCCGCTTT